GCCTTCAGAACAGAGCCAGACAAGGGGGCGCGCCTCCCAGTACCTATCACAGGCCCACACCCTACGCCAGCGGTTCTCAACCTGTGGGTCGCGACCCCTTTGGGGGTCGAACAACCCTTTCACAGGGGTCGCCTAAGACCATCGGAAAACACATATATAATTACATATTGTTTTTGTGATTAATCATTGTGCTTTAATTATGTTCAATTTGTAACAATGAAATTGGGGGTCACCACAACATGAGGAACTGTATTAAAGGGTCGCGGCATTAGGAAGGTTGAGAACCACTGCCCTACGCCCTCAAGGAGCCTCCGACTGCAGAAAGGGAGGCCTCTGGTGGAGCGAGAGCAGCACCCAGTGGACGTCTAGAAAACGGCACTCTCGGGCCCGAGGCGGAGCTGGAGGGAAGTCACCCAATCAATCAACCAAGGAGCCCAAATACTTGCACGTGGCTGTATCACAAGAGTTACATCTCTGGGCTCCAAACGGAGGCTCCCGGTCTTAGAAGGGGCAGCAAGGCTTCCGCCCCCTACGCAGCACAAGCCACGGCCGGCATCAGAAACACTCAGTAGAGGAAGGAGGGGTTTGGGGTTCCTCCGCCCCATGTCCCCAGAGCGACCTCCTGTCCCCACCCCAGCTGAGTGCTCTGCCACCCTGAGCAACCCAGCAAGGCAAGCCCGGCCTGGCGCGAGGGGGGAGAGGGGGAGCAGAGAGCACCCAGGGAGGGGCTGCCAGCGCAGCCTGCATTTCCGACTGGGCCGGGCCTGTGCTTCCGTAGGAACATCTGCCCTGCCCTCTGCCCTCCCCTGGGGTCAGCCCTGAGCTTTGCCCTACGTGAGCCTGGTACCAGGGACACTGAGGGGCTGCCACGGGCTGGCAGGCGACCTTACCTCCCACTGCAGGCCCTCTGGGCGCCTCCGTGCCCTGGATGCCCAGCTGGCCTCTGGCTGTGGCGGTGCTGAAGGAAGGTGTCTGGGGGACCCTGTGTCCCAGCGTCTGTGCTGAGCTGTCACATGGGCAACCACGTGAGAAGGCTTCCGAGGGGCCCTCCTTCAACGCCCCAGGAAGCAGGAGTCCATGGCCGAAACGCGAACAATAGCCACAGCAAGCCCCGGTCCGTTTCTTTTTGCTGTATTTTTGTCTTTTCCCATCTTTCTCCTTCTTCTCATTCCCTTTGCCTCTGCCTTTCTGTTTCTCCGCCTCTGTCATCTTTCTCTGCTTCTGTCCCTCTCAGTTGTTGAGTCCCATGTGGGCGGAACACAGGATCAATG